AGGATAAAATAGTAACTTCATGATGAATGATTTCATGCTACAACATATATGATACCAAAAGACATACCGGTTCAGGTTCCTCGGGAATTTGAAACCTGCTTTGCTCATTAGCGAGAAGATGAACAATGTGCTCACGCTGGTTAGATACATTGTCTTTCTGCATAACAATCCAAGTACAGTCATCAAATTATATTTCAAAGGGAGAAGAAAAAAGGGAAAAAAGAATGAAGTTTAACGAACAAGGAAAGAAACTACATGCATAAAACACAAACAAAAACATCAAAGAGCATATTATAAAGAAATGATCAAATAGAATCTACAAACAGCAAATCATTTATACTCATGACAAAGATATTTTAAACATACTAGAAAGAGCACACTCATAAAGCTATGGAAGAAGCCTAAACAAATGTAAGAAACCTCATCCATAGCGTACTTTGTGAACCTTTATTATACTCCATCCATCCCTATTTAACCTTCCCATTTTGAATTATGATGTAAGTTATTTTCAATTCAAGTTTTTAAATATTGGTCTAAAAAAAGTGAACCTCTCATGATAAGCTACATTCAGCAATTCATGTGCCCAAATACCATCTTTTCATTGACTTGCAATCATGTCATCATAAGCGTTAATGAAGGGAAAAGGGGGCATCAAAGAGTTTGGGCACAATGACGGTAACAAGAAAAATAAAGAGAAGATATTGGTAGATGACCTTGTGAGAGAATTTCTATTAGCTCATGGTAGTTGCCCCATTGGTCACATATTAAGGCTTGGATGTTGTGGTCATCGTAAGAATTACAAATGTATAGCCCTTGTTTAAGTTAATTGTAGAAATGCAATAAGAAGTCTTCACTAAAAAAAATGGTTATGGGTCCAGATTACTTGGACAGCTTCAAGTTGCAGTTCAGAATGCAATTATTATGAGGAACAGAGAAGTAATGCATGCCTGAAATCCAAATGTAAAATGCAAGAAATCAAATATATCTGCACTCCTTGTTGGTATGGAGAACGTTCTGGGCAAGTTTGGCAGACCATTGAAGTACTTCAAAGCTGAAGTGGCAGCACGAACCTAGAATATTATCAAATCAATCAAAACCCAATGTCATAAGCAATAGTTGAAAATATTGAAAAAAACATAAAACAAATGCACAAACAATAAGTATGGCACACCTCCGGGAAAGAAACAATAAGATTTGTTGTCGTAGTGACATCAAATGGAATAATATTATAAGTCAGATCCTCAATCATGGCTGCATCAGATTCTATCATATTTTTCAGCTGACCAAAGAGCAGTCAAGACAAAATGAGTTAGTTTTTAGAGAATCAGAGATTAAAGAATCTTTAGAAGTAACTAGAAAATAAAACATATATCCATGCAGTTCGGTAAAAATTCATGCAAGATCATGCTCCCTTGAAATGAATCGGACTAAAAAGTTTCACAATAATTTACTCAAACAGCAGATGAGGCATTGAAGAAAAAAAACATGAAAGGAACTAGCTAATGAACTTCCTCGCTCCTTTACCACATCACATATCACCATTTGAATACAGTGCAATTGTGCAAATGCCACTTGAATTGAGAAAACATAAAATTCAACTACAAATAAGATGAACTTGACTACTTTCAGTATGATATATTAAAATCAAGGATGGGTCAGGAGTGCAAGCATGCAGGGTACGGGGTGGAGGTGCTGGTCGCCCAGGGGGGACAGGTTTCAACACCTGTGAAGAACAGTGGGCACTGGGGAGGGTGGGGGTGGGGATTTTCCAGGGGTGTAGTGGATAGGAGCTAGTTTGGGCCCAATGGATCACCATAGGCCCCCAAATGGTCATGTTGTCATAATACAACACCAAAGCTTGGTGTCAAAAGAAACGTACCGTTTAGGGATATAAATACTCCATCCCAAAAAGATCTTTACTTTTTTAATTCAAAAAGGTCAAATTATATCCTCTTTCATCACCTATTTGTGTTGATCATTTGACAAAATAATCAAATCATATCACCTCCTTTTATAGATCTTTTCACGTAGCTTTTAAATACATGAGTTTTGTTTTTAATTTCTACACCAAATTTGACAACGTCAAGTTCCTTTAGGGACGGAGGGAGTAATTAAATACTCCGTATAACTTTACATTTTTTGGTTGACATGCATCAAATTGGACTTGGCTGCCTTCGGGATTTTTTTAGTTTACATTCATCAAATTGGACTAAGCTGCCTTTGTGCTAACAGGCTTTGCATGTTATAGCTCAGTAACGAAAATTTAAGAGATTATGCAGAATCTTGAAACATTAGTCATTGTCAATTTACAAGAAAACATGAAAACATACAATAATTGCATGATATTAAAAGCTAACAAAATCGGGAGAGAGAAAGAGAGAGAACAAACAAACAAATCCCCTAGGACAGGAATTAACAGTTTCGTTAAAAAGCTAGTTAACCTCTCGCGGTATTAATCTTTCAGCTTCTTCATGTGGAAGCTCCTTACTCAGCTGTTCTAATACTGTTCCCAGAACCTTCAGGGTTCCTTGAACCTTTTTCCTCTTAATGGTCTTCCGCTCCAACCTAATTCAAATTCAAACTAGAATAGTAGCAAAAATAAACAAATATAGAGGGCTTTTATGACTTAGAGATTTTATATTCTTGTAACTTAATGGTACCTATTAAAAGTCAAGGGGTTCTAGTACCCTTCTCTTCATCTCACCCTTGATTGCATGACATAATTAAAAATAATAATGTGGCCCTTTCTTTAGTAAATCATGTTGATCAAGGGTGACATGATGGGATACCAAAACCCCTTGAACTTTCATAGATAATCTCTAAATTCACAACACTATAAGATAATCAATCAATGGTTGGTTTAAAATGTTTAAAATGGATAGACAGATAGACAATTCAACTGCGTTCTGTTTTCCCCTAGTCCATCCTTGAAACATTTACACAAGTATATAGTAAATAAAATGCCACAATAGTAACAAACTAACAATGTTAGGTATCAAGCATTTCCAAAGAGACCATCCATCCAAACTAGATGAGGGAAATTATACATGAGAAAGGGTATATCAAGCTACTTCATATTTGCACCTTTTACTAAAAAATTCCCATGATCTAGGAAAGAAAACAAAGAAAATCAGAGAGAAAAGGGCATGATGAAAACCAATATATAAAATTACTTGGAATAAGACATACTCTCCAAGGTTACCGCTGAAAACACCTGACTCTCTCAATGTCAACTCTTCTCGAAGCTTATCCACATTATGGCGCTCTCGATATAGTCTGTAGAATTCTAGTAAGCGAACAATGTCTTGACTTCTGTCAATAGTTCCACCTTCCCGTTAAGCTAGTTTTTGCTGTCATGATTGATTGAAAATATTGTAAGGTGAGTATCATCAAAAGCAAACTTTTCATTACAATAATAAAAGTCCTTTGGCTCATCCAAATTCTGTTCTGCTCAGACCAGAATAGCACAAAATGATTGTCCTATATAAAGCCTGTAAGAAGGAAGCCCCAAACTAGTAGAACAACAATGACAAAGAAAGTAACATTAACTGTCAAAAACATTATAGAAAGTAAGAAGTGAAGAAAGTTTAGTGCGCCCTTTCCATTAGTCTGTTGTTACCCTAAGCTAAAACATTGTCAAATGAATGTATTAACTCCCTTGGCAATGGACACTGAAGCCGCAAAATCAGTAATAAGAAAAAAACTGAACACGGGTTTATCACGTTTTCGTACTAAAGCCGTGTTCGTTTTTATGACAGGTTTTGATAATGCCAAACTGCCGTGAACAAGACAAGTTGTTGAATATACAAGGCGAGAAATAAATATAAGAAGAAAGAAAGAGAACAAGAGCTAAAAGAGACCAAGAACGAAGACCGTAGTCTTTAGCATCGTTGAGTCGGTCACAATGTGATCAAGACCGACCCAAGCTTTGCACTTTGGCTCTTTAGACTAAAACATTTTTTATTGCATTTTACATATCATCAAAATTGTTTTCAAACATGCTTAAACATATTCAAAAACACTTGGTGTTCGCCCAAACCAAAAACCAAGCCATCCGGGGTTCGGCTTTCGGAAACCGGCGTTCGATTTTCAGAAACCGGCGTTCGGCATTCGGTTATTGGCGTTAGTTTTTGGCGTCCGAACCAACCAAGTGGTTTTCAACTTTTTATGATTGTTTTTTTTATGGGCACATTTAAATAGTTTTCCATCAAAAATACTTCAAAAACCACCTTTCATTTTTTGTCGTTTGATAAAAACCATGCGAAACGGCATAAAGTTGCCTAGCCGTGGTTTTTACTTAAATGAAGTGGTTTTAAAGTCTTTTTGTGTGGGAATTGTTTTTGAATGCATTTAAATGGTTCTCCAATCAAAACATCATGAAAACCACCTTTCGGTTTTGTCTTTTGGTAAAAACCACCCTTGTACGGCGTTGACTTGGTCAACCGTGGTTTTTACCTTAACAACGTGGTTTTCAACTTACAAAGCTTGTTTTGACATCACAATACATTAAATAAGTGTTTTAAATACTTAGTTTTTACTTTGGAGGATTTTGCATTTTTTCGGTCGGGTTTCAGCGCTGGTCGGCTAAGCCATGGTTCTGGACTAGCCATCTACCCAGCGATGGTAGATTTAACCCATGCATGGGTAAGTGATCCCGAGATTCCAGAATCATGCCACCCAGCGATGGGAAGATCTTCCCATCGATGGGTAAGCAGTCCCTTAGCCAAACCAATTTCCAGAATCATGCCAAACAGCGATGGGAAGTTTTACCCATCGATGTTAAAGCCTTGGTGCAACATTACCACAAGGCAGAATGCCCTTAGCCAGCGATGGGAAGCTTTACCCATCGATGGGAACCCAGCGATGGGAAGGCTTAACCATCGATGGGAAGGCATGACCGTTGGGAGTCATTTAAGGCTGATTCTTTCCTTATTTGAAAGTCAACCTCCCACCCAGCGATGGGAAGCATTTACCCATCGATGGGTAGGTAACCGTTGCCTTCAAAATTGAAGGAAAATTGGCTTACCAGCAATGGGTAAGTTCCAAACATCGATGGGAAGCCAATATCCTGCAGATCCCAAGTTTATTCAATCCCATAAATCAAGTCAATCACCCCTTTAATGTATTGGTCCGTTGGAGCCTATTTTGGCACTATAAAAAGGGGTGTTTGGGTCTGCTTTTAACATCAATTCACTTCACAATATTCATATTATCATTGCATTCAAACAACATCATTTTTCATAGCTTTCTGGAGCCAATTTGTGAAGTTTGAGTTGTTCTTGAGCGTATATAGTTTACTCAATATCTATTCTTAAGGAGAGTCTTGTTCTTGAGTGTCTTAGTGTTGTATACACGTTAAGGGAAGCTTGTTTCCCTTGGTTGTACGAAGGAAAGGTATTTTCCTTTGGGTTGAAGTCTTGGAGTGCGGTATCTCCGAGCAAGGTTGTTGAGGCTCGTGGGACTCGAGTTCTCAGGTTGTAACGGTTTGTTAAGCACCCGTAAGCTTAACGGAAGTAGTGTAGCTCGAGAGAGTCTCTCGGGAGACTGGATTAGCCACACGTTGTGGTGAACCAGTATAAATCTTGGTGTGCTCCCTTTACGCTTTCTACGCTCTTTACTTTTCACGTTCTTAATTTTTTATTCCTGCGATTTCTACGATCAAACGCTATTCACCCCCC